AAATCTTTTTTTAGTGTTAAGAAATTAACTTGTAGCCAGCGTCCGCAGGAAGGATTGTGCAAGTCGCTGAATGCTGCAGACTAATTGAAAAGGGGTAGCTCGCTCCCTCCCGGAGCGGTGTCTTCCGGGGGGGAAAAGGGTCATTCTGGGAGTTTCAACTCCCTCTTCTAGCGTTCCCTTTCTGGCCCAGCGCGGCCCTTACGTGTTCTCCTTTCTTGCCTCTCGCAGCCTGCCCAGGACTTCGGGACGTTTTTCTCCGCGGTGATTGACGACAAGGTAAGCTCAAGCGTCCTGTTTTTACTGGCGCCCGGGAGCCGCAACCCCACGCTCTACGCTGGTGGTTAAAGGGTTTTACTTCAGCCTTGGGTGAGGTGTGAGAGTCAGCGATAGGGAGGTGGGAGCTCGCTCTCTCCTTCGCCAAGTGCTGCAGCCCTTTGCCACCGCCCTTCTTGCAAAGTACTTTTTTTTGGTGAGGAGCTATCTCAGGCGTAAGGTTCGGCGTGTCCGGGGCTGCATCTCTGGCTCCCGGCCCCCCGCAGCAGGAGGAGGGCTAAGAGCAGAGTAACCGTGGGGGAGACCGCCGGGACGCCACAGTCCTCTTCTCCTCCCTGGCCTGCCGTCCGTACCACAGCTACTGCCCCTCTTAAACCAGTTTCAAACCCGGAGCTGAAAAGTGCCTTTCTTCGCCGAGAAATTACCTTAGATGTAAGGTTCAGAGCGTCTGGGATTGTGCTTGCAGCTCCCAGCCCTCGTGAGCTGGGAGAGAGCCAAGAGGAGCGTAGCCCTTGTGCGCGCCCAGCCCCACTTCCAGGATACACACACCTCCTTTTAGACCCCGAAACTCACAGGGTTTTGTTAATCTTCTTTTTTCAGTCTTTTGCACGTATCAAGAAATGGATCGAGCATGCCAAGACGTCCTCCAATCTCACCATCCTGGCAGGAGGCGGCTGCGACGACGCCGTCGGGTATTTCGTCGAGCCGTGCATTGTGGAGAGCAAAGACCCAAAGGATCCTATCATGAGAGAGGTGAGAGCAGCTTGTCGGGAGCCCGGGCAGGGGGAAAAACGGCAGCGAAAGGGCAGAGCAGGCTGCAGATCCCCACCTGGAGAGGTCTGCCGGGCGCTGCGGCTGCGTTGCAGTGAGGTGACTGGCCCTGCGCGGCAAGTTGGTGCAGGGATGTTCCTCCTCCCTCTTCGTCGCGGCTTTAGCGAGTTCAGCGCTCGAGCGCCCGCCGCTTAGGCCGGGGGCCGGGAGCTGCGCGAGGAGGGTCTCCCCGGACGTCTGAACGCTCCCCTTCTGCTCTGCAGGAGATCTTCGGCCCCGTCCTCGCCGTGTACGTCTACCCGGAGAAGCGGTACGAGGACGTCTTGGAGCTGGTGGACACCACGACGCCCTACGGCCTCACGGGGGCGGTCTTCGCCCGGCAGAAGTGAGTGCCAAAATCGGCACCGGCGCAGCCTGGACGCGATGCCAGGGAGCCGGGGCGGCCGCCTGCAGCCTGCCGGGGCTCCTGCTCCTCCCTCTCCTT